TTTTTTTTTTTTTTAAGAATTTGAAGTATGATAAAAATGTAAGTCTCCGAAGAAGCACGCGCGTTTAAATATCGTAATTTACTTGACAAGTTATGGAAAGGTGACTTAATTAGAGAAAAAAACTGCAGTCGAGGACAGCTTTCTCGAGGCGACTTCATTGCAGGGAAACTCTGTGGCTCTTAATATGATAGTTTCTAGGAAAAACTGCTTCGACGTGACCGAAACGACATTCTTTCGTTCGATGGAAGTAGCATCTTAAAGTTAGTTTCCTTTTTACAAGAATCGAGAATGCTACTTATTGATAAATGTTTTACTAATATTAATTCGAAGATTTGAAATTTGATAAAATTGGCATCTAAAAGATATATCATTATTTAAAGATTTCTCGATATTATCGAATAGAATGAAATTTTTATCGAAATTATTTCTATTTTTAAACGATTCTCGAATTAATTTAGATATTTTAAAAAGATACTTATGTGTTTAATATGTCAAAGATATCTATTTTAGGTAATCAGTTTTTAAAGAATTTTTCACAAATTTAAGTGATATCTTTTTTCTTTTAAACGAAAACGATATTTTTTATACGAATTTACGAAAAATACAAAACACGTTCGAAACTGAAATTCTATTAGTAAAACTTTGCAGAACAGCGAGAACGGAATATTGATAAATGTCTGCAACAACAAAGATACAAAACAATTTCCCTTTTTCACTAGAATAAACGCGTCTATCATTTAATTACAAGATTTTTACCAATAAAAATGACGTTGTTTAAAATATTCGAGAAAGAAAATTCCTTCGATAACATTTATTGGTAAAATTATTCAAATGTACACACTCGTATAATCCTAACACGTCGATTTACCCTTCGATCCCAAGATTCCAGGAACTCGCTCAAAGACAAAGCACGTAAGAGTATGTAAATCCCGCGAAGTAGATTACTAGCTCAGAGGGGCACGGTTTTCCATCGGGGGAGGCTCTCTCAACCAACGGAGAAAGACAGAAAGAAAGGTAGGAAGAGAGGGAGTCAATTTCATCGGGCACGGAAACTTTAATTTCAATCGAACTTGCCGACAGAATAATAATAATACTAAAGCCAGTAGTAGGTACCCTCGTAACCCAACAAACAGAGAGGAGGAGGAGGAGAAGGAGGAGGAACAGGAGAAGGAGGAGAAGGAGGAGGAACCTATTAAGAATCAACTTCACCAACGAGACTTAGAAATCGTTAACGCATCGGAATGCCACTAAAACTATATCCCATCCCTCGCTAGGGGTGCGAACTCGAATCGAAGGAAGGAAGGGAGGACTATTTAAAAAAACGGGTATCATTCCAATTCATTCAGAGATACAGCTTCGAGGAAATGATAATTTCCACGTTTCTTCGCGTTACATCATATATTCCTCTCGCGAAAAGAAATACATACCTCTGGAACACAAGAGGGGTTGCCGGCGGCCATGTTTGTGGCAACGTCGGCGCCGGTTTCCCGAATCCCCGAAACACCCTATTGATTGCTCTCCACGAGTCTCGCAGAACCGAGCTGGTACACCGGTCACCTCCCGTACACCTCCTGTTCCTCCCTCCCTCTTTCCCCTCTCTATTCCTCATTCCAGCTCTCTCTCTCTCTCTCTCTCTTTCTCTCTTCTCCGTCCGTCTCTCTGTCCATCTCTGTTTCTCCGTTTCTCCGTTCTACACTCCCTTCCCAGTCTAGCTGTGCTTCTCTCTGTCTCCTCTCTCCCTCTCTCCCTCTCTCTCTCTCTCTCTCTTTTCTCCATCTACCTTCACGGGCAGCATTAGGAATGGCGAACACGCCGCCGTGCAGAGGCTACGTGAGCCGCATGCGACCACCCCCGCCCCCAACCACCACCCATCCTTCCCTCGTCTATGTCATGCTTGGTGCCAGCCAGTATGGCCGCCAACTCATACAACCTTCTCCTCTTTTCCTCCCTTGCCCTCCCTCCCTCCCTCCCTTCCGTCTCTCTCCTTCTCTCTTTTTTTTTTCGTCCTTATCCACCTCCTCTTTTCCCAGCCATGCTACTACCTAGTCGCTTCTTTTCCTCCTCCTCTTCCTCCTGCTCCTCCTCGTCTCTCTTCTCTTCTTTTCACCGTTCGCCACCGTGGCCACCTTGCCTCTTCACCCCCTTCTTTCTTCTTCATCCAGCTTCTCCTTTTTCCACGGTTCCCTCGCGCTGTGCCGTGCTATCTTTGCCCTTCCGGCTCGC